AGGTTTAATAGATAATTAAACATAGGAAAGAAGTTGAAATGAGTTTTGGGACTCAAAAATGTTTTTTCTTTTTGCACTCTTCTTATATGCTTCTTCTCTACGTTTCGGCTTCACCACTTCTGCTACGATGTGATCTTAAGAGTGAAGAACATGTCTGAAATCTTGTTTAGATCCATACATCAAAACTAAAACACAAGAAAGGCTTGAGAACGAGACTAAATACATGTTCATTATTGATTTTGATGCATATGTTGGTTAAGATTGAGTGGCTTTCTTTCTAGTCTTGTTTCTTTGGCGCCAGTTTTGGACTCTTTGACGGCAGTGGCCCTAATTTTGATGTGTTGGTTTTCTCTGTTCGTTTTTTGCTTGAGCATCGTGGAAATAATAGAGGGTTAAGCTTTTGTCTATCCACATGGGTAGTTCCATTTCGAGATACTAAAATTCATATCTTCAGGCGGGTCTAAACGTGAAGCTTGGTGCAGAAGCCTCTGAAAAAAATCAAAGGAGAAGAAGACCGTTAGAGATGCGTACGAAGAGAAAAATGTGGAGAATCATGATATTATCGATGGAGAAGCATGCTTTGTCGGATCTGATCATAACCGACAAAGGAACTGAAATATTCAGGACAGAGAGGTAGATTACGGTGAGGAATTTGCGCCGAGGAGGATAAAGTATTGTTGGATGGTCAGCGAGGTCTTTTCATGTTCTCGTGAGGTTTATAATTTACTTTGGTTACCATAACACTTATCGATTTGTTGCTTTTCAAATAAAAACATTATCTTTGACAATATTTATGTTATATATAGCTTGATAACATCTAGAGAATTTGAGGTGATATACACATATTTCTATTAAATTAGCAAGATATACAAACATTATTCGACATACTATTCAAGTTTTGATAATTTGATCTTACCCCTAACAACATACGGGCATTTCGTGCCCATCTCTATTTTTTCCTCTAAACTCTATTTTAGAATAAAATATACTCAAACTCACCTCTATTTCTACCTTTAAAATAGAGAAAATTGTTTTTTTCCTCTATATATAGACGAAAAAGTGGAGAATTACTATTTTTCTCTATTTTAGAAGAATTCCTCTATTTTAGAGATACATTTGAGGAGAAATAATGGAATTCTATATTTTCTTCTATCAGTGAAGAAATCATGTAGTATCCATACCTATACAACAACATATACTTACACCCGTTTATTTATCGATTTCGTAATTATTATTTTTTCATTTTTCTTCTTCGACGGAAAACCAGGTAGAAAAGATGAATTGTTGGCGGGAAGATGTTTGAAAGTTAATTTTTTCAAAAATTTCTAGCATTCAACAAACCGAATAATCACTTCTCTTGCTTATTTGGCTTGTGATGATGAATTTGTGTGTATACAAATGAGGAGTTTCCGCCATTACCAAACACACAACAACACTTCTAGAAGAAACAACTAAATTTCATTAGATTTTTTTGAAGCTTTGACAAACGAGAAATGCTTTTGATGAGGTTAAAGATCAAGGATAAAGAAAATGACAAATAAATTGTTATCCACTATTATATATATTAGCGGTCCAATAATGAATATCGTTGAATTTGACATTCTAATTAAGACATACATAAGTTCAATCATAAATCATCTAACAATTCAAATTACCGATAAATAAATTATTATCCACTATTATATATGTTATCGGCCCAAATAATGAATCTAGATGATGAACAAGTGGAATACACTAGGTATAATGGAGAAGGTTGAACTTTCTATTTGTGTTTTAATAATAACTTAACTTGTTACAAGTTTTTTTAACACGATAAATATATAATTAGAGTGTTAAACATAAAGTTAGGGGTAAACATAATATACAGTAAAATCTATATATACAAAGTATGTTATATCTTTGAATTACTTTTCTAAATTCATTGTTAGAGCGCTAACATATTTAATAACCGATACTAATTTATTTA